CATCTCCACTATCATCACCACCATCATCATCACCACCATATACATCAGCACCATTACCAAAATCACCACCACCACCATCATCATCACCACCATCACCACCACCATCATCACAATCGTTGTGTTACAGAAGTTGAGCCTTGCCTAAGGTCACACATCTAATTCTTAGTGACACCATCACTCATACACAGTACCTCCCAAGGCAAAGATTTTTAGTCTGTCTACCCACTGCCCTGACCACATACAAGAAGCCATCCTTCAAAGACATCCTTCTCTCTTCCTTCTCCTTTGCCCCCTGAAATGGGGAGCCATCATCCTGGACTATGAGGACAGGAGCCATTAAGTATGGATGCAGGAGCAGGGAGATGCAAGCACCCTGGTTTCTGAGGAATGTCTGACACCAGACCTGGACCATATACCTCAGGGTCACCTCGACCTGAGAGAGACTCTCATCCCTCCTTTTCCAGCACTCTTGTTTGAGAGGCTCTGTTCGCACCAGTCCTAATCCTGGTGCAGCATTCAAGCCCCACGCACCCTGCAAAACACCTCCTAATCCGCCATCCGTGCACTCACTGAACCCTGCATGCCAGCTCTTCTGATGGCAGCTCAGCCACTTCTGTGGTTTGGTTTGCTTTTCACTGAGGATAAAAGCAGTGACCCTCAAAGGCAAATCTGAGTGAGAACCATTCAGGTGCAGCAGGTAGAGGCACTGGGGATAGCGATCTGTTCGGAAAGCTGGCTTAGCATGAGGGATGTCTGAGAGAGCGACTAACCAGTATTCTTTAAAAATCCAGTTTATTCTAAAGTGCGTGTTTTCCATCTGTGGCCTGGGCTGAGTTGCCAGAGGAAGGAGAGCTTTGGCTTGTGGTCTCCTAAATGCCTCACCTCACATTCCTCATCACCGTTAAGTGAGTTAGATGAGCGTCCAGACCGTCATCCTGGAAAGTGAGTGTGAAGCCATCATCAGAGTCCAGCTGGAGATGGGGGTGGTCTGCCCCGTTCCCACGCGGGCATCGCCGCCTCTCAGCCATGCCCACCTGTGACTGCATGGTCCTTGCATGTGGCACAGAGGGTGCAGCTCTGGGAGGACCCCTGATCCTACGGACAAGTCTGTCGTCTCAGGGTATTTCCCGACACAGTGAGATGCCAGTTCTCATAGGCAGTGAGGTTGCGTCTGGGTGGTGGCTCACGTCAGAGGGACGGAGGTCTTCTTTTATATTGAAATTCATTACTTATTTCTTTATGATTTATTTTTATAATTGATTTCCGATATTGTGTTAGTTTCAGGTGTACAGCACAGTGATTCAGTTACTTCTTTTGAGATTATTTAACACTGTAGTTTATTAAAAGATACTGAATATAGTTTCCAGTGCTATTACAGCACATCCTTGTTGTTTATCTGTTTTATATATTGTGGTTTGTATCTGCAAATCCCAACTCCTAATTTATCCCTCCCTGCCTTTCCCCTTTGGTAGCCGTAAGTTTGTTTTCTATGTCTGTGAGTCTCTTTCTGTTTTGAAAATAAGTTGATTTGTACTATTTTTTTAGATTCCACATGTAGGTGATATCATATGATACTAGCTTTTCTCTGACTTACTTCACTTAGTAGGATAATCTCAAGATCCATCCATGTTGCTGCAGATCGCATCATTTTATGCTTTTGTATGACTGGGTAGTATTCCATTTGTTAATGTATAAAA